GAGATGCATCTACAAGCGAAGAAATGCCAAAGAATGATGGCAAACCACCAGAGCTAGGAACAAGCAATGAGGGATTCCCCTATAGGTTTCAGACGGAACGTGGCCCTGACAACACCTTGATTTTGGACGTATTGCCTCTGGAACTGTGAGTCAATAAATTTCTATTGTTCTGAGTCACCTAGTTTGTGGCACATTGTTATGAAAACAAATAGATTTGTTCAAGGGCAACAGCTACGTTCCATTAGATGGGCGGGTATCTATTCCTCCCCTCTATATCCTGAGTTGTGGCAAAATGTCCTGGGGGATTTGCCCAACAGCCCCCACGATGGCCATCACTACACAGTATGAAGGCAGGAAAGGGACGTGTGGGGAGATGCCACATTCAAACAACTTAATTTCTCATTCAGCCCTAAAGCTCAGAGTTATAATAAGCTCCATTTCATGATATTAAGTAATTTTTAATTAACTTTTCTCCAAATTTTAAAAGTAACTTTTCTGGCCCAGCGCGGTGGCTCATGCCTGTAATCCTAACACTTTGGGAGACTGAGGCGGGAGGATCGCTTGAGGCCAGGAGTTCAAGACCAGCCTGAGCAAGAGTGAGACTCTGTCTCTACAAAAAATAAAAAAAATTAGCTGGGCATGATGGCACCTGCCTGTAGTTCCTGCTACTCAGGAGACTAAGGTAGAAGATCACTTGAGCCCAGGAGTTTGAAGTTGCAATGAGCTATGACGACAACACTGCACTCTAGCCTGGGCGACAGAGCAAGACCTTGTCTCAAAAAAAAAAAAAAAAGCAAAACTTTTCTATTATGGAAAATTTGGAAAACCCAGAAAAGCATACACAAAAACAAAAATTACCTATAATCTCGCCAAGAATTACCATGAACATTTCGTGGAGTATCTTTCCAGCCCTCTTTCTACGTGGCGATGTACTTTTGTGTTTCAGTTAGACAGGCAATACTGGGGCCGGCTTCAATCTCTTTGTTAACCATGCTTTCGTTGGCAAACTTGGGAACATAATTCTCACTTCCAAATTGTTTCTCACTGAAGAAAGATGTTCTCAGTTCTAAACTACCCTTTTACCAACAAACTTCTGGACTCCCATCTGACCACCAGTAGGAACTGACTCTGTGTTCCGCATCAGTCACAGCCCCCAGCGTGGCTTCGTCACTCACCGGAGTTTTGATGTAGGTGTGGGGATCAGGGAACTCAGGAAAATGGCTGGGGATGTGTGGCGGGTGGGGTCGGTTCTGCCCTGCAGTGAGGGCCTTAGGGGTCACTGGCTGATTGGTCACTGGAGCTGCAACAGAGTCACAACTGGTTACTTCTCCACCTATGGCCCTGGTTTCTACAGATTATGGTTTCTGCCCAAACCCTTCTTTTCTCAAAGTAAGTGCCGGACCTTAGTTTTCTAAACAATGGGCACTTTTTATTTCTATCAATAAAAGGCCTTCAATGACTTAAGCATCTGAGATGATAACCCCCACAATGCCCAGCCCTGCTAGATGACCTTGGTTGACATTTATGTCTACAACAATCTGCCTGTAAGCTTTAAGCAGGTAGGTGGGTGGCTGTGACCATGGTAACTATGGAAAAGAACATGCTGAAGAACCAGGGAAGTGAGATGGGCTGCGAATTCTCTTTTCAGAGACCTCAGATAACAGAAATATGCACTGAGCTGGGGAAAGTAAGTATGGGCTTCATGATAACAAGACGGGATTGAAAATGGCACCTCCCACTGCTACTTTGAGGAGGAGTTCTTAAAAAGATGCCAACATGAAAAAAGAGACTTTAAAGAAAAAAATGCAGTGAATTCTCCCCAGGTCCTACAAGCCCAAATTGGATACTGTCTACCCAGCTATGGCACCCAGTTTTACCTAAGGCAGAGGTCATCAAACTTTCTGTGTAAAGAACCAGAGAGTGAATATTTTAGGTTTTGCAGGTCATACAGTCTCCATCACAATTAAACTCTGCCAATTTCAGGATGATGGAACATGGTAAGAAAAATAAATAAATAAACTCTGCCATTATAGCACGAAAGCAACCATAGATAATAAGCAAACATGGCTGTGTTCCAATAAAACTTTATTTACAAAAACAAGCAGCAGGCTGCATTTGGCCCATAAGCCATAGTTTACCGATCTGTGACCTAAGGGAGAACAAGAACTTTCACACTTTCCAAGCAGCATCATTTGCTCTTCTGGGACTAAAGCACAAGAAGCACAGCAACATCTCAAAGATGGTTTACCTTTCTGATAACTGAATTTCACATTCTAATCCTACTAGCCCAGATAAAGATTATATTGTAGGTAGCCCCAAAGATTGAAAGGGAGCCTGCAACGAGGAAGTAGCTACCAATCCAATCCCTGCCAGTTAAGTTAGTTTCACAAGCATTGATAGTTTACTAAGTACCTCAGTTCAAAGTCACTTACGAGCAGTGATGACCATCCTCTGAGACCGTTTTGCATAAGCTGGGAGAGTGTCCACATTGAAACCTAAGAGACAGGAAAACAAAAACCAATGCCCAGACCACTGGATATTGAACATGAAAAGGGGAGTAACATTGTGGCAAAATGGCTTAAACACCCAACTCAACCACTTTGTTGCCACTAAAAAGAAGCTCCAGCAGAATCCCCCAACAAGGAGTTACGAGGCCTCTTAAATGGATTCAGAGGAACCTCTATTGATAAGTCTCTCAAGCTAAAAGCGAATCAGGAGGACCACACGGGAAACCAAGAACACTCAGCAGACAGGGCTGACTCCTAAGGACTCCTCCCTCTTTCATAACCCCAACTCAGATAACACTGAAGCATTGGAAACTGGAGGTGCACTCACCCATCTCAACAAGTGTGACCACGATATCCGACAGTGTGGGCTGAGTCCTGGCTGTGTGCTCACAGTAAGACTTGGCACTCCTCCCAATTTCTGAAATGTCTAAGAGAGGATTCAAAGGCATTAAAGTCTTATTCTCAGTTCCTTAAAAAGTTAAACATAGAATTACCATATGAGCCAGCAATTCCACTTCTAGGCATATACACAAATGAATTGAAAACAGGGATTCAAACAGATCCTTGTACACGAATGTTCATAGTAGCATCATTCACAATAGCCAAAAGGTACTCAGTGTCCACTGACAGATGAATAAACAAATTGTGGTATATACATACAATGGAATATTATTCAGCCTTTAAAAGGAAGGAAATTCTGATACATGCTGCAATATTGATGCACTTTAAAAATATTTTGCTCAGTGAACTAAACCAGATACAAACAGACAAATGAGATTCTGCTTGTATGAAGTACCTAGAAAAAGCAAATTTGGGCCAGGGGCAGTGGTTCATGCCTGTGATCCTAGCACTTTGGGAGGCCAAGGCAGGAAGACTGATTGACACCAGGAGTTCAAGACTGGACTGAGTGAGCAAGAGCAAGACCCCATCACTACAAAGAATAGAAAAATTAGCCAGGCGTGGTGGCATGCACCTGTAGTCCCAGCTACTCAGGAGGCTGAGGCAGGAGAATTACTGAGGACAGGAATGAGTTTGAGGTTTGCAGTGAGCTATGATGATGCCACTGCACTCTAGCCCGGGTGTCAGAGTGAAAGTCTGTCAAAAAAAAAAAGAAGAAGAAGAAAGGAAAGAAAGAAAAGAAAGAAAGAGAAAAAGAAAATTCATAGAGACAAGTAGATTTGAGGTTACTAAGGGCTGGGGCACAGGGGGTATGGAGAGTTACTCTTTAGGGGGACACAGTTTCTGTTTAGAATGGGGAAAAGTTCTAGAAATGGATAGTGCAGCACAACATTGTGAATGTACTTAATGGCACTTAAAAATGGTTAAAATGGTAAATTTTGTTATGTATATCTTACCTCAAAAAAAAAAGTTTTATTCTATGATAGGTATTATAATTTTTGTTTCTTCTGCCTGAAGCTGAACCTCTATTTAGTAGTCATGCTAATATCCTTCAGGGGAAAGGAGAAGGTATCTAAGATGGAGTTTATGAAGCTGGAATCTGTGAATGGGTTCCAAAGGTGGATGGGAGGTTCCATGAATACCTGAAACTATGTTGAATTTTATACACACACAAAAAAGCATTTTTTCTGGGAATGGGTCTAAAGATTTCATCAAATGTACAAAGGGGCCTTAAAAAGCAAGGAACCCCTGCTTTAGGGATCCAATGGTTCAGAAAATAAAAGCATGTGGTGCTTGACAGGGAAGGGTGTCTAACTGAAGCCCTACCACCAATTCCCCTGCTACCCTGAGTAAGTCACTAATACTAGTCTCCTGACTCTAAATTCCAAGATCTTTTCAAGAACTGTTTTTGTTTTTTGTTTTTTTTTTGTTTTTTTTGAGACACAGTCTCGCTCTGTTGCCCTGGGTAGAGTGCAGTAGCATCATCATAGCACACAGCAACCTCAAACTCCTGGGCTCAGGTAATCCTCCTGCCTCAGCCTCCCAAGTAGCTAAGACTACAGGTAAGCACCAGGACACCTGGCTAATTTTTCTATTTTTAATAGAGACAGGGTCTCACTTTTGCTCAGGCTGGTCTCAAACTCCTGGCCTCAAGCAACCCACCTGCCTCAGCCTCCTACAGTGCTAGGATTACTGGTATGAGCCACTGCTCCTGGCCAAGAACCCAATTCTTACCTGTTAGTAACTATTATTTCATTCCTTTAGGACAAACATTCTCAAAGTGTGGTCTGGGAATCCTGGGAGTCCCCAAAATCTTTTCTGAAGTCCACAAGTCAAAACTATTTTTGTTTTTTAAAATTTTTTTTTTTTCTCTGAGACAGAGTCTCACTCTGTTGCCCGGGCTAGAGTGCTGTGGCGTCAGCCTAGCTCACAGCAACCTCAAACTCCTGGGCTCAAGCAATCCTCCTGCCTCAGCCTCCCAAGTAGCTGGGACTACAGGCATGAGCCACCATGCCCGGCTAATTTTTTCTATATATTTTGAGTGGTCCAGCTAATTTCTTTATATTTTTTCAGTAGAGACGGGGTCTCACTCTTGCTCAGGCTGCTCTCGAACTCTTGAGCTCAAACGATCCGCCCGACTTGGCCTCCCAGAGTGCTAGGATTACAGGTATGAGCCACTGCACCCGCCAAAACGATTTTGTAATGAAATTAAGTCATTATTTGACTTTTTCATGCTCATTCTCTGACTTTGATGACATCATGGCTCTGATGAATAATGAAATGTATGATTATACATTCTTCTATTTTAAAAGTTTGTATTGTTTTCTAATATGGCAAATTTTTATACACACACACACACATATATATATATATATAAAACACACATACAAAAGCTATTGGGGGTCCTCAATATTTAAGAGTCTAAAGGGGTTCTGAGACCAAAAAGTTTGAGTTAGGAAAACATTTGATATGAAAAAGCTCCAAGCATCAGCTGCAGAGAGCCACTTTGTCCAAGACCACCCCCTTCCTGGCACAGTCCTCATCTAGTATATGATTAAGACCTGAGTACAAAGGTAGGGCCTTTTCAGCTTGATGGACAATAATTGCTCCAGGGCTTCCAGCTAAGCTGGCCAGTTCTTTTTTGCATTGCAGTTCAACATTTTCCTCTGCCCAGACCTTTCTCCCACTTCCTTTCATAGGTGTTGATCCCCAAGAAACACCACATATACCTCCACCCCTCATCTCGTCCCACCCCCAAAAAAGTTCTAAATGGGGAAATATGTTGTACATGCAGAAAAGCCTATATGAGACCACACCAGGCTCTTAAACCTCAAGACATTCCTTTTGTTTTTTATCATTCTATAAAACTTATTCATCTTCATTCTTTGTATCACACAATATAGCATGTGATTGCATAATGTGATAACATCTATTTCATGCAAATTAGTCCTGACTCCCTAACAAAAGTATAAGTCAAGAATAGAGAGCAATACAGCAATATTAAGGGCACCTGTAAGTCATCAAGATCTTAAAATCTCCCTAGCATTGAATGTTTTACATACATCTCACTTATACTCACACTCCATTAAGTACAAATTTTTATCCCATTTCTCAAATTAAGAAGTCAAAGTTCAGGAGGCTTAGTGATTTGCCCAAGCAATTAAGTGGCAAAGATTTATAGCCAGGTCTGATTCTAAAGCCTGTAAGTGCTTCACCATGCTCTTCTTTTTCTTAAATCCTCTCTAACACTATCACGATGCAGGGCACAGGACTGACGTTGAGGTTGACTCAAAGAAGGACCAGTACTCACAGCTTTGCAGCATCTCTGTCAATGTTTCCACGGATGCTTTCTCGGCGCTCTCAAACCCTGCCTCTGTGAGCAAGGAGCTCACAACCACTTGCAGTGTTCTCCTTCGGGCCAGATGGTAGTTATCAGCAGGGTTAGTAGACTGTTTACTTCCTGATCTCTGTCAATCAGCAGCCCAGAGAGAGATTTTCATCCACAGGACAAGGATGCAATCACACAGTTCACGCATTGCCATGGCAAAGAAAAAGTGCTTTTGCTAAATACTTCTCTATCAGCGCTTAATGTTTAGATTAACAGATCTTAGCCAACTGAGTAATAATTTAACAGGATACTCTAAATACAGAGGCAATTTTTCTGTCTACCTAAAACGTACGGTTCCAATAAAATAAAATGGTTTTTTTTTTTTTTTTACTTTCTCCTTTAGCAGATTATTATATAGCTGAAGAAACTAGCCTGATGGGACTGAATTAATAAATCTCCCAGAAAAAACAGGATCTCTCTCTCGTCCCTCCCATCTCCACACCATTTCATTAACAAGGAAAATTAAAACAATAACAGACACGAGATGTCGAGGAGAGGAGGGCAAAGGATAACAGCACAAAAAAGAAGGGAAACTAAATATTTTGAACCGGGAATCCCTCCCAACTTTGGCTGGCCAATAAGAAGGCGAAAACGGTCTCTTCGGGCCAATGAGGAGGTGTTCCGGGTTCCCAACCTCCAACAGGGAACTAGCCAATCAGGACGCGGGTCCCCTAACTCAGAAGGCCGCGGCCAAGTCCCAACGAGAGGGTGCACGTTCAGCCTGAAAGACCCTCCTCCGCTCGGAGATCATGGTGGGGCTGGGTTTCTGGGTATGAGCTTGTTGCCCAGGCCAGGGGAAAGTTGCAGAACGCCTAAACGCTCTCGGCTTCGGCCCCGCGCCCCTTGCGCTTACCGTTCCGGAGCTGCCGGCCCCGGCCGCGGCCGCCGCGTCGGCCATCTTGCTGTGGCGTAGCGTGCGCGGGCGCGGGGCGGGATGGGACTTGTAGTCGCGAGGCGGGGCGGGGCGGCGCGGCGCGCGCCCCTCGGGTGTTCGGGAGGCCGTCTGGGTAGGGGGCGCGTTGGGTGACCCCGGCGCAGGTGACCTTTTGTGAGCGTAGTGTTCACGGGGCCTTCTGTGGGCTTGGAAGTGGGCCAGGAAAATACGCTTCCGGCTTCAGCGTTGAAAAAATGTATTTTAACACGAAACGGTTCTTATGAAGAGCACGCTCTTGGAAGGACCAGGAGGTCGTCTACACTCGCGGGATTTTCCATATTTGTCTGATGATTAGCAACATCTGACCTCACTCTCTGGAAGAAGGGATTGGGACTCTCTTGTTACCGAGCTCCCCAGGTGATTCTCCTGAGTGGGTAATTTTGGGAAACCTGGAGCGTCCAACCTCGCGATTCTGTGCCGGCGGCCCCGCAATCTGTCAGCGGCCCAAAGTAGAGCCTAACGGCCACCTAGTCCAAGTCTTCCGCTCATCCTGCTGCCTTCGCGCCCTCCCTCCGCCAGCATCTGCCGGGGGAGCCCGGGAGGGTTGTGCCTCGGCCGCCTCACTCCCACGGCGTCGCGTCCACGCAGCTGCCGGTGGTTTTCTGTCACTCGCCGGTCAGCCCTGTGGACTGGGGATTCCTCAGGCAGGGACCGCGCCTTGTGCGTCCCCATTTTCAGGACGCAGTCCCTGGGTTTCAATACTAACACTCGCCAGCTGTGGGACTTTAGGCACGTTACCCAACCCTCACTGTGCCTCAGTTTCCTCCTCTGTAAAGCTGGGGGGGGGATGACGGCGGGAGTGGAACAGAGAATGCACAGAAAGGGTCTGTCACGGCGCCTGACGTTGTTGTTTATTTCCCGGGTAGTGTGTGGACGAGTCCCGAAGGCCCGTGCAGACCTGCGCGCCGCGCCTGCCCTGCCGCCCACACCTGAGCCTCGAAGGCGGCCCCGCCCGCCTCACCTAGGGCGCGCGGGGCGGGGTCTGCGGGCCGCGGGGTGAGCGGGGCCCAAACCTGAGCCGAGCCGGGCACCCAGCCCCTTTGTCTCCCCCGCCCCCTCTTCCCCACTTCCTGCCCAGCTTTAAACTCAGGATTGGCGGTGCGGCGCGGACTTTGTAAACACGCCGAGCCTGCGGGGGTGGAGACTGGTTCTGTTGGGCCGCTGGGGGAGGGATGCACTCCCCTCTCCGCGGCTGGAGGTTGCGACCACCCCCACTCCCCAAAGCCAGAAGCCGGAGGCGACGGGAGAGAGCGTCTGCAGCCACAGTGGGTGCTCCGGGGGGCTCACCTGCCAAGGAGGTAGGCTCAGAGAAGCCAGGACGGCTGAGCTGTCAGCATCGCCCCCTCTCCTTGGCGCTTCGAAGCTCAGGCTGGAGACCCCGGGTTGGGGATCCGAGCTGGGTGGGTGGAGGGAGTCGCCGCGCCCCCATCACCTCCCCGTTGGCACCCAAAACTTGGCTCACTCTCCCTGCGAGTGAGCTGTTCTGCACCGAGTCGAAGGGCAGAGAAACCCCCAAAGGCCCTGAGCTTTTGTGTGTGCACACCTCCTCACATCCCCTGCTCCAAGCGATCTGGAAGCCCAGTGGCTTCACTGCCCCTGTTCTTCATACCTCAGAGATAGGGTGGGAAGCGAGTGGGAGGGCAGATCAATGTGGGTAAGGAGACTGTGGGTGCTCTGGCCAGCGCACTGGAACAGGAAAGGACTAAATGGAGGGACCCCTCAGTGTTCCTCCTTCAGTGGTGTCTGATAGGTACACAGGTGTTGGTCTTAGCCTCCTGTGTGTCTCTTAGAGTGTCAACAAGAGGAATAACTGACCAGACTGGTTGCTGTTACTAAGGGAGCATTAATTCATTTGCATTGATTGAACACCTACTATGTGCCTGGCATTGTATGGGACGCTGAGGGTGTGATGACATTCATCCACAGCTTGCGTGGGTCGCAGAACAGCAGAGATAAGGTGCCGAGTGCTGTGGCTACAGTGGCTGGAAAGGCTTCAGAGAGAAAAGAATATTTGGGTTGGGTTCTGAAGGATGAATAGTTCGCCAGGCAGAGAAGTTGGTGGAAAGTCTTTGGGGCACTTATCATTCCATAGAGCTGAACTGAACCTGACTGCGGTGCTGGGCATTGGGATACAGTGGCGACCCAGAAACAATTCCTGCTTTCTTGAACCCACTGTCTAGACGTGAAGAAGAGATGGGAATGAACAGGATGAATTCAAGGAAACAATTTTCTGGGCTGGTTCCCAAGAACCTAGGAATTCCCAGCTGGGTGCAGCTGGGAGGGTCCACTTGGGGGTGATGTGGACCATTCCCCATCCCTAGACTCTGGGGCTATTTCTTCTTGCCCTCTGCCCACCACCTCAGTCTCTCTGGGACCAGACATGGGTGGAGAAGTGGGTCTCCCATTGCTTCCCTGCACATTCTTCTGCTCTTTGAATTCCTGGGCTCCTTTGAGAAATGACTGGCACAACAACTTATGAACTCGTTCAGTACCTATTTTCTGTGCCCATACTCTGTCTACACAGGCTAGATGTTGGGGATATCATGGTAAACAAATCAGAGCTTCAACCCCCTGGAACTTAAAATTGAAAGCAGAGTCTCAGTCTTTGTCAGTCATTGAGATCACAACCTCCGTGGTCCCAAGCCCCTTCTCCTTCCTGTTTCCCTTGCTGCAAGAGCTCAGAATACTCGCTAACAGTTATATGGCACTGCCAGGTACTCTTCTAAGTGGTTTAGAGATAATATCTCATTTAATCCTCCTAATAATCCATTTTATAGATGAGGAAACGCACAGGAGATAAGTCATCTTCCTAAAAAGGACATAAGAAGTAATGGCAGAGCTGGGATTTAAACCCAAGTCACTTGATATGGGAGGCCCTCTTCTTAACCACTTGGCTAGCCTGCCTCCTAGACCAACCACACAGAATGTACACTTGAGCCAGGGACTTACGAGTTTCTTTAAAAGAGTCCATGGTCCTGCATCTTGGGTGCTACAGAGGATAGTGAGCAGCAGTGTGTTAGCTGAGCTTGGGTGCTGGTACTGTTCACAGTGATTCTCCGCAGGCCTGGAACAGGGTTGTGGGGACCGCAGAGAGCTGGCATCCTTTCCTGATGGCTGTGTGTATGTGTATGTGTGTGTTCCCCTGTGTAAGCTTCACGCACCAAGAGGAAGGAGGAATGTAAATAACCGAAGAGGAATGAACCAAGGTTAGAGGCAAGAAAGAACTTCTCAACATGTGCCAGAATCTGGGGATGTGGAAAACCAAGATACCTCTTTTATTGGGAATCTAAGAATAGCAGAGACCCTCATATTCTAGATTCCAAGAGGAACTTCCCAGCGTGGTAGCTGAGTGAAGATGATATTAAAGGACTGGGTAGGATCTTGAGATGCTTACCACCTCTTTTCCCTACGGCCACTGCTTCCGAAGCTGCACCTGTGTATCTGACCCAGTCCTGTATCTGTCCCTCCCAGCAGGCGGGACAGTGGCCATGAGGCAGGCCAGACTACAGGGCTGTTTCCATGGACTCCAGCCATTTTTCTACCCCTTTTCTGAAACCCTTAAGTTTCTCACAAGGGCCCTCGCAGGCAGTCCCTCTCTGCCTACAGCCAAACAACCTTGTGCACCATCTTTGAGCGAAGGGGGTGTGTTGGGGCAATCGGTGTTGAGTCTGGGAGTCAAGGGTAGAGGGTGGCGCCCTGCGATAACAGATGAGCAGGATGTGATCGTTCGGGACTATACAGACACCCTCCTCACTGCAGGGTGGGGTGCAGTGGAACCCTTGGCACACCCCGCCCCGCCCGGCCCCCTGCCCCAGGCTTGCTCCGCGGCGGTGGAGAACAGGTTGTACTCTTGAGAAACCGCAAGAGGAAGTTTAGGGAGGGCTGGGGGTGGGGAAAGTTCTGGGGCCCCCGCCAAGTTTCCCTTTCCCTGCTGAGTGGTAGGTGTGTTTATCTTGCCCACAAAGACATTTAAATTTTAAATCTTCTGAGTTTCAAAGGGCTGTCAATGCCTGCCTCTTTACCGTGTGTGGCCATGGACACCCCTGAGAATGGGATTGGAACAAGTTACCCATTTGTTGGCTTTCACCTGGGATTGGGCAGGTTGGGGAAGGCTAATTCCAGAAAGTCCGCTTTTCTCCTTCTTTCTGCCCCTTCTCCTTTCTCTTCCCCAAAGCGTTCAACCTTTAAACTCAGAGGAATGTAGCTATAATAGACACTTAGGCACACTTAGGTGTTGCCAGGAGCCTGTCAGTGTTTTACCTGCACTATCTTATTTAATCCTTATTCACCACAACCCCAGGTAGTAAACACGTCTAGCTCCAATTTACAGTTGAGGACACTGAGGCCCAGAAAGATTAAGAAGGTTGCCCAAGGTGACATAGCTAGTAAGTGGCAGAGCCCAGATTTGAACAAGGCTCTACGTGATTTCAAAGCCCGAGCTCTTTACTTCTAAATTAACTCCCGAGTAAGAGGAGCATTGACTTCCCCAACATGTCAAACGCGGAACAGTAGGGAGGTTGAGATCTACAGATGTCTTTTAAATACTGCTGCTAGGGTGGGGAGGGGAGAGAATTGGAAGGGATTCCTTGGAAGTTAACATATTTAAAAGAGGATAGCCCAGTGGAAAACAGGTGTCCTGGGTGAAAGGTTGAGGTTGGACTCTGGAAGCTTGAAGCAAGTGAGAAGGTTTAGGAGGGATAGCATAGCTGTGTGCAGGCATCTGGAAGGTTGCCCTGGGAAGCCCTGGGTAAGGGAGTTGGGGGCTGGAGGAGGCAGACTTCCAAGAAGCATAAGAACTTTCCAACAAATAATTGCGTAATCCCCAAATGATGAAGTGAGTTCCTGTCTATGGGACTCTGGAGCGCATGCTGTAAGGAGGGCTTCTGCCAGCGAGAAGACCTCAGAGCCCCTTTTCCTCTAAAGCCCCGTTGTGGTTATTCACCGGCTTCCTTCTTCAGGCCACCCCTTGGCTCCCCCG